AATGTTGGTTTCTTAAATTTGGTTTTAAAAGTACTCCTACAAAGATAGAAGACCTACAAGAAAAATCAATTGCAAACTTTCTGAATCTTGGATCTACAAAAAAAAAATCTTGAAACTTGTATAATATCGTAGATTACTGCTAATGCAATGATTTCGTTTTCCATTGGTTGGATTTTGTTTTTTCGTAAAAAATTAAATCATAATTTTGTTACCCTTTAGACAAAGGAGAGCGACTTCGTTAGCTTTACATACCCCCAGTGCCTTTTGTCAATTTTTGCGTAAGAATATCTAACTAATAAAACTAGTACGAAATTATTTTAAGAAAACAAGAATCTCTCTGATTACAGAGTTTCTTTTTCAACGACGACAAAAAATAAAAATAAAGTTTATTTTGAACGGAATAGCTATGACCTTTTTGCATGTATAGTATACGTAGGTAGCTTTATAGAGAAAAATACTCCACTTTTCTATTCATTAATAATAAATGTGAATGAAAGGAAATCTAATAACTAATAGGAATAAATTTTGTGTACGAGTAGAGATGACGCCAAAGGATGGATCCAATCCATGGTTAATGGATATGCAGAATAAAGAGAGAATGACATAAGGATTCAGATGTGACGTGACATATTGGCCTCGATTACTTGGACTATGACATTTCAGACCTACAATTTTGTAAACCTCAATAAAATAGTCATCTACGAACCTACAATTACATATATACAAAATTGATTAGGCATTCAAATAAACTATAAGCAAATCACTGTTTATAATCGACTCGAATGTTCCTTCATTTCCGTTTATATTATGGTATCATGTTTTGTTGCAGTAACACAGCTAGATTTGTATAATTCTTTATAGTGGTTTTCGCTAGTTGTAGCACTTACAGGTTTTGAGATTAGTGTGTCGTACAAAAAGCTATAAATTTAGATTATTTAAGTAAAGAAAAGTGTCGCTAGTGGTTTAAAGTCATAATTTAATATAACAGTCCGGATTAGACTGGTTATAAGTATGTAACAGAAGAAAAGAAAGAGCTAAATCAGTAGTATCAGTCCTTTCGGGAACATCTGATCAAAAATCAATACTGTTGTTAGGTATAATTAAATAGACATGAAAAGGCCCAATGGGCTATTTTTTTTTTTCTTTAATTTTTAAGCATGCGAAACTTAGAAAAAAAGAAAAAGAAAAAAGAAAAGAAAAGTAGAAGACATGCTCTGTTAAGTGGTCGCTGTCTTCACTCTCTAATCTTCTCTGTGTATTTGGCAGTTGAATTTCTCTGCATGCAAAATCTAATTTTAGATTTCGTGTTGGATTCTCTTTTCCCAAACAGCTTATTAAATTCCAAATTTACCCCTGCCATCAAACGTCAACGTTAATATCTCTCTCTCTCTCTCTCAGAGTTTTTTCGTAAATATAATTTATTTTAACTATTATTTATCGTGATTTTAATGATTTGTCTATTATTGTGTTTCTCCTTTCTCTTTCGTCATACATGCAAAATCTCCTGCATTCCTGTCTCGTTCGGGTAATTATGTAAATAATTGTGGTCCTAATTCTTAACATCTTCAATTTCTTAAACTACGCACATGTGATATATTTTGAAAAATTGGAATTTATTCGTTTAAATGAGTTAGCATTAATATATATACGCTGACATTACCAACCAAATGTTTCTGCTTTTATGGATAGTTCTCTATGTTGCACTTGATTATAGATACCAGATAAAACTGGACCAGGATGAGATCCGTGGGTTTGTTTTGCTTTTGATTAATCATATAATGCGATTCTAAGGTTAAGTTTGTTCAGTGTTTTAGAAAAATCTCGTCTCGATATACGTAAACATTAAAAACGTGTATTGACCTATTTTGCATGTTACTTATCCAAACGTAAAAATGTAAAGCATGACGAATTCCGAAATAATAATTTGGTTAACCAATTGCAATACAAGTATCACATCTTGCAATTTTCCACAAAAGATTAGTGCCCACAAGGCCACAAATTTTCTACTTTAAAATAAGTACGGTTAAGGGCAGAGTCATGTACCTTGCAGGGCTATAATGGTCAGTGTGGAATCAGCATCAAGCCAAAGGAGTCGTCTCTATCCTAAAGATCTACAGCTGCTTCACTTGTGATCAATAGAGAAGAAACTGAAATGATGATATATCTTAACTAGCGTTTACCGTTTGCGTTTTCTGTCGCGACTGTTGACTTATTGTCAATAAAGATTAAAGAATACTGCTAATATTTGAAAGAAAAACACAAACTTATCGGATCGGGAGGACATAAACAAAAGAACTAATTAGATAGAGAATGGTACTATTAAATTCTGATGTTTGGTGGAATTGTTAATCATTACCAAAATCAAAGGAACGTAAGAGGGACCTCTTCGTGCATATGATTTCCCTCCAAAACAACTGCTCCCACTACCCCTTTTTTTTTTTTTTTCCTTCCAACAAAATCATTCACATGAGAAAATCTGTCTCTTGATCACACTTTCATGCAAAAATAATGTATTCCAGTCCATTATTTGATGATACTAAATATGGGTAAACATCCAATCTTGTTTATAACTATTCTCTAGTAATTATACGTTTAATTTTCTTATCAGAATTTCTAAGATATAGTTTTCATATTAGCAATTTATCGTAATAGAGTTGTCGTTGCCTTCTAGTGGAAGGAAATTTTGATATGGTATCCCTCGTGGGAAAAATCAAGCCTATTTAAAGGATAACTCATTTGAATGCTTTAATCATTAAAATAAAAGTTTTTTGCTTTTACAGGTTACTACATACCACCGCTTAATTCATCATTAGGAGAATATTAACTTTGATCGAAATTCTTTATCAAAGTAACCCTTTTTACACAGAAGAAGATTTGAGCATTTTTTTGTTTTGTTCGAGCATTTTAAACGATTATTTTTGATACGTTTAAGCGTAAATATTCGATCGGTTGCAAAGTTGCAATACATCTGTGAACAATTTTATTTCGAGCATTAAACAATATCTTATCACACATTACCGTCGTCAAGCAAAATTCATAAATTATAAGTCGAGAAATAAAATAAAAACATATTTTCTGGATTCTTATTTAAATCCTCTCTGCTGCATGCTGCAGGTATTTGACCAATGACTATACATTTAAAGCAAACAACATATCCAGCAGAAAAAACGTTTCTAGTTCCAATGGTAAGATAGTGGCAAAATTATTGTTTTCTTGCATTCAAGAAAATCAGAAGGTTTAAACATATAAACCAAATTAGTCTTAAGCAAAATGGTAAACCACTTTTGAAGCTAACATAAATCAACGTCTCGGACAATTCTATTCAAAGTAATGTTTGATTTGGCTGCTAATCTTTTTATTCGCAGACTGAAAAAAATGCAAAGGTGGGATGTTTAGGTCAAAGTGATTAAAGATGGATGGGTGGTTCTTCAGCAAAACGGCGCCGTAGAGATGTCTTATCCTACATTACAGCTGGTTGTGGCAGACATCATAGGGCCTACGTATATTTTTGAGCTTTACTGTACGTAAAGCTTGAACATATCTAGTTAGTTCTCACTGGACAACAAAAATATCTGACTCGTATATGATATATCACATTACGTTTAGAAATTAGTCTCTAGCAAAATGGTTAACTAATCTACGAAATCTGGAAGATAATTGTAAAACAAAAATGTATCGTTGTACTTTAAACTTATTAGTACATTTTTGCCACTAAGGCTTCTTAAATTAACTGGTTAAACTATGAACACTAAACAACTGGAACTTGTTGCTAAAGGTACAAACATGTCACATAAATAGAGACAGCATCGTATACACATAATGTTGTTTGATGTATTGCAAAATCAAATATACATACGAGTACGTAGCGACCCACTTGGTTTGAGGTTTTTGGAAGATAACGAAATAAAAAGATGGATTCAAAGGATACAGACTTATATATGTCGGGTCATTTAGAGCCGTGACCAAAAGTTTCGTCGTAATTTCTACGGTCGGTCATAAGAAAATTTTGGACTTTTGCTTCACCCTTTTGTGGACTTCTGTATAGTTTTGTCTGTTTATATATTTGTATTCGTAGTTCTTCTTTTCCCTAATAATGAAAACATATGTTCGCCGATAATAAATTTTAATTTTCGAAAATGTGTCACACACAATGTTAAAATTTGAATGGTATTCAATTTATAAAATGATTCCCGAGTGCGTTCGAGTGTCCTACCACCACCATTGTACCAACTCGTATGGGTTTATTTAGTAGATTATTTTCCCCAGTGTCTTTACAAATTAATTTTTTTTTTTTTAACAACCTACAAATTAATTTCTATATATATTATTTAGGTCAAGAATCTAAATTTATTGTTTTATTTTTTAACTAAAGATCTTTGATTTGTGAATTTAGGAGTATAATGATAGCTGAAAAAGGTTATGAATGATTGCAAGAGAATGGTCGTTGTAGATCACAAATAAATAAAAATGTGATTTGTCTTAATCAATAAAAGAAACGATAGAAACAAAAAGAATAAACGCGTTATGCGTCTCGAGTCGCAACGAAAGAGTGTTTTTGCTGGTAGTTGGATTGTAACTCATACAGAGTATTAACTTTGAAATGTTTCGAAAGACTTTACAAAAAAAAAAAAAAATAATAATAAGGTGGAAGATGGGGAATTTGTAGGGCTAAAAGCGAAAAATAAAATACAAAATACAAAAATAAAAGCAAAGAAACGTCTTTCTCAATAAGAACACAGATCCCAACGGATTCAAACAGCAAAATTGTGCTTTGCTCTCCTCTCTTATAATATCCTCTCAAAAACCCTCTCTATATCCTAAAGCCACTTCCTTTTCACTTCTCTTCTCATCCGAAACAAAACTTCGATTTCTTCACAATGGTGTGTTCGTTGTGTAACCAATGATTGGGTTTTAGCTTACCACTTCGAGAGATTATAAAAAAAAAGAGAGTGACTGATACATTATAGAAAGAAGAGAAAGAACCAAAAATCGAAAAAAAAATGAAGTCCTTTTGCGATAATGATGATACTAATCATAGCAACACGACTAATCTTTTAGGGTTTTCACTCTCCTCAAACATGTTGAAAATGGGAGGTAGAGGAGGAGAAGCTCTTTACTCATCGTCGTCTCCTTCAGCTGCAACTTCTTCCTCTTCCGTTCCACCACAGCTTGTTGGTGATATCAGTAGCAACAACTATGCAGTCTGCTATGGATCTAACTCAGTAGCTGCGACAGCCGGGGAAATCTATTCTCACATGTCTGTGATGCCACTCAGATCTGATGGCTCTCTTTGCCTAATGGAAGCTCTCAACAGATCCTCTCACTCAAACCATCATCACCAAACTCAAGGTTAGTAGTAATGTGAATTAGTCTAAGCTGTTATTTTTGTTGTCTTGTTTGATGGGAACATGTTTGGTTTTAAGGATTTTTATGTTTTATTTCTACAATTTTAAGAATATTTTGTGGTTTTTTTTTTTTTTTTTGGTTGTTTTAGATTCATCTCCAAAGATGGAGGATTTCTTTGGGACCCATCACAACAACACAAGTAACAAAGAAGCCATGGATCTTAGCTTAGATAGTTTATTCTACAATACCACTCATGAGCCTAACAACAACACAAACTTTCAAGAGTTCTTTAGCTTCCCTCAAACCAGAAACCACCATGAGGGAGAAACAAGAAATTACGAGAATGACCCTGGTTTGACAAATGGAGGAGGAGGGTCTTTTAATGTAGGGGTATATGGGGAATTTCAGCAGTCGCTTAGCTTATCCATGAGCCCTGGCTCACAATCTAGCTGCATCACTGGCTCTCACCACCACCAAAACCAAAACCACCATCAGGTCTCTGAAGCTTTGGTTGAAACAAGCGTTGGCTTTGAGACAACAACAGTGGCGGTTGCGAAGAAGAAGAGAGGACAAGATGAAGTTGTGGTTGTTGGACAGAAGCAGATTGTCCACAGAAAATCTATCGATACCTTTGGACAAAGAACTTCTCAATACCGAGGCGTTACAAGGTCTTTTGTTTTTCATTTTAAATAATATTTGACTTTTTTTTTTATCTAGTTTTGTTTGACTTAAGTTAGTAATGTTACTTGTACTTATTTTATGGATTTAATCATGTGAAACAGACATAGATGGACTGGTAGATACGAAGCTCATCTATGGGACAATAGTTTCAAGAAGGAAGGTCACAGCAGAAAAGGAAGACAAGGTTTAGTGACTTTTATTTAATAATATATTTTTTTAAGCTAAACTTTGATACTTTGTGTTATATTTTTTTATTCAACATGTTACTGACTTTTTTTCCATATTTTCTCTATGTGTGATTATGATTTGGTGATCCTCTTCTCAGTTTATCTGGGTAAGTACACACTTCGATCTTCATGGATTCATGATTCCCCCCTAAATTTTCTCGGGAAAATAATGATGGATTTTGACTGCTTTTTGTTTTTAATTAAAATCTTTATAGGAGGTTATGATATGGAGGAGAAAGCTGCTCGAGCATATGATCTTGCTGCACTCAAGTACTGGGGTCCCTCTACTCACACCAATTTCTCTGTAATCCATTTTCTCTCTTCTTTTTTAATTCAATATTATTATTTTTCAAACTTTATATCTCTTTGACCTTACTGTTTTACATTATGCTTAATGGGATACTGAAGGTGGCGAATTATCAGAAAGAGATTGATGACATGAAGAACATGACTAGACAAGAGTACGTTGCTCATCTGAGAAGGAAGAGCAGTGGTTTCTCTAGGGGTGCTTCCATTTACAGAGGAGTCACAAGGTACTTGAAATAACAACATTCATATATAACTTTATAATATATAGTTTTGTTTTATAAAACCACATATTGACTGTGTGCTTCTCTTATTATAACAGGCATCACCAGCATGGAAGGTGGCAAGCTCGGATCGGTAGAGTCGCCGGAAACAAAGATCTCTACCTTGGAACTTTCGGTAATTTTCAGTTTTGATTTTGAATCATCGAATGAAACCCTTTTATGTTGCTTGTGTCTCACGGAATCTTTTTTAACCCTCGTAGGAACGCAAGAAGAAGCTGCAGAAGCCTACGATGTAGCAGCAATCAAGTTCCGTGGCACAAACGCTGTGACTAACTTTGACATAACGAGGTACGACGTTGATCGTATAATGGCTAGCAACACACTCTTGTCTGGAGAGTTGGCTCGAAGGAACAGCAACAGCATCGTCGTCAGGAACAATAGCGACGAGCAAACCGGTTTAACCTCTGTCGTGGACGTTGGTTCGAACAAGGAAGTGAATACTCCCGAGAGAGTGTTGAACTTTCCGGCGATCTTCCCTTTGCCTCAGGTTGGGCACAAGATGTTCGGAGCAAATGTGGTCGGAAATATGAGCCCGTGGACTACTAACCCTAATGTTGAGCTTAAGACCGTTGCTCTTACCATGCCTCAGATGCCGGTTTTCGCTGCTTGGGCTGATTCTTGATCCAGTCTAAGGTCTAACTCTCGTTTTCTTGGTTTAGTTGCCAAGTGTCTCTGTTTATCTCCGGTTTCATCCGGTTTGGACTAAAATTCGGTTTAATTTATCGGTATAAATAGTGTTTGCGTAGGAGCGGTATATGTTTCTTTTGAGTAGTATTCATGTGAAACAGAATGAATCTCTCTATAACATATGATTTCAATGAATCTCCTTTTCGGGTCCTTCTCTCTTATTAGTCACTTTTAATAAATCCATGTGACTTAAAAAAACGAAGAAGACAAGAAATATGTAGAAAGAAACTATGCGAACGTGTATGGTTATTAACGAAACATGATTATTTTAGTAACTGGTTTGATGACTTTGATAGTTTTGGAAATTGATTAGGATGTTAATTTCTTGTAAAGATATGGTAAAGAGAATGTGCATGGAGTTGAAATGACCCATATCTAATAATTAGGTTTCATGTCACTTTTGTTTTAATGATACATTTTTTTCTTTTGAGTACACAGAAATAATAATAAGGATGATATGTAGAAATATGTAATGTCTCTCCAATAATGCGATTTGCTTTATTGACCATATCGTCACACAACAATCCAACATACCTCACCACCTCATTTCTAAATTCCCTCCTTTTGTCTCTTTTTCACACCCCACCGTATCAGCTTTTCTCTAAAGTTTCACCAAAATTTTAAAATATTCCCTCCTCCATGATATTTAGGAAAATTTTCAAAATACTACAATCGTAAATATTTAAGAAATTGGAGAATTTATTGCTTGGAAACTTTATAGAGCCACTTACTATGAAATAATTATGTTGGCAGCAAAATTACTGTAACCCATACGTGGGGTGTAAATGAAGTGAGTGGTTCAACGTTGAATGAATGAAACCTTTTTCGATTTTGAACATACGTAATGTCCTTTCCTTCGCACGTGTTTTCCCAGTTTCCCACACGTGTGAATAACCTGGCCCAAACTCGCATGCAAAAGTCATATATTGGGCCGTGGACAAGTATCTTATTCGGGAAAGTCATAGATATTTTGTCTCTTGTGTCTTCATACCAAGATACCAAGAGACAAAATATCTATTGGGCCGTGGCCCAATCTATGATCTTCATAATACCGTGGTGTTTTTGATCAATTTGTGGTGTTTGATTGGTAGGTGTAGCCTTGTTAGGTTCGATGCCCTGTAGTCCACACAGTGTTATGTGGACATGGACCAACATTAAATGCGTCGAAAATGTGACATTTGGTTGTTATACAAATATGATGCCAATACTACCACGTCTTCCGATTACTTATTGGTGTCACATGAGTCATCATCAAATTGAACCAGATAAACACAACAAAATTTGTAACGTTTGAAATATGTGAATTTTATGTGGCTGATCATAGTCAATATCTTCCTACTAAATAACTCGTATACGCTAAATGAAAAATTTTGCGTTGAAGAGAAACAAGACACGAGTTCGAATCACAGCCACAATCCTCTCTCTACCTTCCTAACAAACTTTATACAACAAATTATCATTTTCCTCTTCTCTCCTCCTTACAAGATCCACGCGTCGTTTCGTGAAACCACCGGCATTGGCCGCTGGATAACGGCGGAGGCTAATCGCAAAATCGCACCTTTGAATCTCTGATGGCTCCGACGATTGTCGTCGATCACTTAATCCTCACGACAACTTTCCTCGCTTCCTTATTCGCGTTTCTGCTTCTCTACATCTTGCGCCGCCGGAGCAAGACGATTCCCGGCTCCGTCGATGTCCGTAACGGAACCCTAACGGTCAAATCTGGAGATGGCGTCGATATCATCATCGTCGGTGCTGGTGTCGCCGGCGCTGCTCTCGCTCATACCCTTGGCAAGGTAAGCTCTTTCCGTCCTAATTCAAATCTAACTTTGACCTAAACCTAATTTTGATTTTGGTTTCGTCGTTTTTCAATTTCACTTGGAATCTTCTGTAAATTGCTCTGTTTTTTTCCCTCTCCTTCATTGATTCCGGGAATTGTTTATTATTATTTTGCAATTTTGGGTTTGAAATCTTCTCGAATTGTCTATTATAAAAAAAATTCATCGTCTAGCTCCATCAAATCTTGCAACACAAGTAATTGTGTTTCTCTGTGGATACGTCTGTATTATATGCTGAAACCCTCGTGATTCTTAATTCACGTGGAAATGGGTTTTTATTGTTGCGATCATTGACGTCACGGAATCAAATTTAAGCTCTCTTTGGCTATTAATGCTTTATTCTGTGTGGTTGTAGGAAGGAAGAAGAGTTCATGTGATAGAAAGAGACTTAACCGAACAAGACCGAATCGTCGGTGAATTACTTCAACCCGGTGGTTACTTGAAGCTAATCGAGCTCGGACTCGAAGGTAAAACCATATCAACCAATAAAGATCACATCTTTTCGTTAGACTAAAAGTTTCATATTAATAGTTTTGTTGTACTTGATTGATTTGTAGATTGTGTGAAGGAGATAGATGCACAGAGAGTTCTCGGCTATGCTCTCTTCAAAGATGGGAAACACACCAAACTCTCGTACCCTTTGGAACAGTTCGATTCTGATATTGCCGGTCGTAGCTTCCACAATGGCAGATTCGTTCAGAGGATGCGAGAGAAAGCCTCTACGCTTCCCAATGTTCGTATGGAGCAAGGAACAGTGACATCGCTTGTTGAAGAAAACGGAGTAGTCAAAGGTGTTCAATACAAAACAAAACAAGGCCAAGAGCTTAAAGCATTTGCTCCTCTCACCATTGTTTGTGATGGTTGCTTCTCCAACTTGCGTCGCTCTCTCTGCAAACCTAAGGTGTGTGTCACAAGCTTCTTACGTACATTAGGTTTAGGTTTTAAACATTTTAGGATCTTGCTTCGTGTGTCACACGCTTCTTGTGTACATTAGGTTTAGGTTTAGGTTTAGGTTTCAAACATTTTAGGATCTTGCTTCGTGTGTCACAAACTTGTGTACATTAGGTTTAGGTTTTAAACATTTTAGGATCTCTTTTCGTGTGTAACACGAATGATATCTCTCGCTATTCAGGTGGAGGTTCCATCGAACTTTGTTGGTCTTGTATTGGAGAATTGCGAGCTCCCGTTTCCGAATCACGGCCACGTCGTTCTCGGCGATCCGTCACCGATCTTGTTCTATCCAATCAGCAGCTCGGAAGTCCGTTGTTTGGTCGACATCCCCGGCTCGAAGCTCCCTTCAGTCTCCACCGGAGAAATGGCAAACCATCTGAAAACAAACGTCGCGCCTCAGGTTCCGATTCAAATCCGCGACTCGTTCGTCTCCGCGGTTGAGAAAGGTAACATAAGAACAATGCCGAACAGAAGCATGCCTGCTGATCCGATTCATACTCCAGGAGCTCTGCTTTTGGGAGACGCATTCAACATGAGACATCCGTTAACCGGAGGCGGTATGACCGTGGCGTTGTCCGATATAGTGATCCTCCGTGATCTGCTAAACCCGCTCATCGACTTAACCGATAAAGAATCGTTGTCGAAGTACATCGAGTCGTTCTACACGTTGCGTAAACCGGTTGCGTCGACGATCAATACCCTTGCGGGAGCGCTTTATAAAGTGTTCTTGGCGTCTCCGGACGATGCGAGAAGCGAAATGCGTCGAGCTTGCTTTGATTATCTTAGCCTCGGAGGTGTTTGTTCGTCGGGACCTGTGGCTTTGCTCTCGGGGTTGAATCCGAGACCTATGAGTCTTGTTCTTCATTTCTTCGCGGTTGCGATCTTCGGAGTCGGTCGTTTGCTTGTGCCTCTTCCTTCGGTTAAACGGTTATGGCTCGGAGCTAGACTAATCTCGGTACGTCGTCGTTTCTTGAGGGTTATACTCTTAGTTATACAATGTTGAAACTTTTTTTGATTTTGTTTAGTGTTATGATGAAACAGAGTGCTTCAGGGATTATATTTCCGATAATTAAAGCGGAAGGAGTGAGGCAAATGTTCTTCCCTCGAACGATTCCTGCCATTTACAGAGCTCCTCCTACTCCTTCTCCTTGGACTTCTTCTCAATGATGAAATCTTTAAGGTGTGATTTGGCTTCGAAGATTTTTAAGGTGTGATTTGGTTCTTACGAAACTTTGGTTTGAAATTGTTCTCTCTTCCATGAGAAACGAAATATTCGTCTAGTAAAGATGTACTCCCTCTTTTTCAAAAAATTTGATGTTTTAGAAAAAATACAGATATTAAGAAACACTTGTGTATACATTTATTATTTACTTTTTGTCTCTTAAAAACACTTGATGTTTTAAAAGACCAATCATCTACTCTTTTCAATTTCTCTCACTTAAAAGTTAAACTATTTCCAACAAAAAGTGAATTAAATAAGGCTAAAACATCAAGTTTTATGGAACAAATTTTTTTTCTAAAACATCAAGTTTTCTGAAATAGAGGGAGTATCTGTTAATTGTTTTTAAGCATTGTATCTTTGGGTACCGTTGGAAATACAAATTATAAAAAATTCTTAATTTTTTTGATGTTTTTAGGATTTTGTTTTTCTTCTTCTAATTGCCTAACGGTCAAGCAAGTCTCTCACATTGAAACTCCCCAACTTTTATGAATTTTTAGAGCAGGTTTAGGGCATGCATAATATATATAAAGGGTTTAAAGGCATATATAAGGGTTTAGGGCAAATAAGGTTTTAGGGCAGATAAGGATTTAGAGCAAATAAGGTTTTAGGACAGATAAGGGTTTAGGCCAAATTTAAGGATTTAGGGCTGATTATACACACGTGTTACTCTCTCGTATATAAGAAATGTGAGAACTTTAAAATGCCATTGTATGATATGATAATTCATACGATAATTCATACACATTGGTCATGTAGGCTGAAATCGACACTGATGGGCTGCAGATCCGTATTATGGGCCATTCATCTGGCACATGTTTCAGAAAGGTGTTGAACTGGAGTTGTTTTTCTTTTACTAGTAGCTCGGAGGATCTTTGGCCAATTTGGCCAATTCTAGATTAATCCTAAAGTTTTGTATTGACTTTGAATGGTGTTTTTATGTCTGTATGATATTTGGATCTCGTTTCTTTTACCATTTGAAAATAAATATGTGAAAAAACTGTTTTACCTAAAATTTTCTGCTGATCCAAATGATTAATACATTGTCAAACAGCTTCAATTCAGAAACAAGAGGGAATGGGCGATTAATTGTATGAATACAATTGAAAGGGATCAAAAATGGATATTGGAGTCATATACTTTAAGGAGTGGAACCCATTATTAGACCAAATCTAAATGCCAACATCTTAGAACCTAACATTCATTGTGATGTTGAGTCTCTTCTTTATCACCATCATCGTCATTATTATATTTTTTGATAAAAGGGCTAAGGTATCATCATCATAATTCAACCTTCCTAGGGGCGGAGTTAGATTGTTTTCTTTTCTGTTTGGGTTAATTTTGTAAAATTTCAACTATTATATTTTTTAAAAATCTACCATTTTACTGTTTAAAAAAATTACAATTGCAAATAGAGAAAAGGTTGTGTATTGTTTCATTTTAAAAATATTTTTTTGGTAAGAAATCCTAAAGTCGAAAATGATGCCAATTATTTTGACATCGGTTTCTATCACTCCCATACACGAACAAGCCCACACGCACGCACCTCCACAACGTTTCCCATAAATTAAACTCTCTTTTTCCAACTAAATATTTCCTCACACATTGCTGTAAACCATTAATATCTTTGTTGACATTTTGAAATTTTATTGCTCCCACAATTAAACTCTTGTCTGTCCCAAATTGCTATATATCCTTCGCGACAAGGTTTTCGTTGAAAAAAAGATTCTATCATCGTAGAGAAGTTAAATCCATATAAAAAAAATCTATGGTTTTATATGCAAACTTGATAGGTAACTAAATTTTAACAGGTACGACAATATTTTTTCTTTTGGGTAAATGTGGTATAAGAGTTGTAGAGACACGCATTGCTGTTGAAATGTTGTGATATGAGTTAAATAGATTCGGTAACAATTTCTATTACAGTTTAAGGGTTTGGAAGTTGGAACATAGATATGTTTAAATGTTATGGATAATTTGAGGATATAGTTGACCGAATATATGTAATTTTCGTTGACTTCGACAATGTAGGTATATATCGACCGAAGACTGCAACTTGTTAACAAGTAAACAAAGGACACATCAAAACCTAAACACTACACAAGTATGTAAGCTTCCAAGAAATCGCCTTTAGTTATTGCCTATTGGATATCATTCCGTGTTTAAATTTCCTCCCTCTTGTACGGACATTAATTAGACATTAACTAACTCAGCCTAAAATCTCACATGTTTTATTTTGGATGCTAAATCAAATTCATCTCGAGACCTAACGTATGTTACATGAATACCGCATGATGACTTCCACAGACACTAATGAAACACTAACTACTTATATATATACAACTAGATAAAGTACTATATACTTGGATAGAGTTTACAATGAAACAAATCGAGCTAGTTGTATTCGTCTTTATTTAGAAAGGAAGAAGAGACAAAATAAGTAATGTAAAATTGAAGATGGAGGGGTTGAACAAGGGTCCTACGTTATGGAAGAGGTGAAGCAAATTGGTCCATAGAGTGTCTCTCCTAGGAAATTCTTGAGGATCGGAGCAACGTGAACGTCACGTTAGTTGTCACGCAGTTTCAATTGGACCCCAATGTTGTTTATCAAAAACATTTATACATTTGTAATACTAGAAAACCCACTCCATGGAAATTCACATCGTATCTATTAATTTTATATATAAATATATGTTGCATACACAAATAATATAGGACATTGTCGGTGTGGGACATATATGCGATTGGGCTTTCACGTGCCTATTCATCTCTAACATCCCTGATCATTTATTTCTTAAAATTTGGATCTTTCGTCACACAATACTAATTTCTAAAACAATTCCTCTAACAATTAAACCTTAGTTTGTATAGTCTGAAATGTATCGTTTGCACGAAACTAAAACCTATCTCCAAAAATTTGTTTTCGTAAAAGACACCAATGCTTTTAAATGTCTAGCTAGACCCATTTCAACTGTATATTCACTTGTTTGTTTTATCCTCCCGTCATTATACATTAACATAATCTAACACAGTCTTTAATTTGTGGAAGTCATGTCTCCATGCTAATTTATCTCAATATCAACATATTAATTAACTATACGTACCAAAGGAAACACTTTCTTAAAGTTCGAGTTAATTAACGATAAGTATATTGTTTGTGTTTTGCACTTCTTTTGGAATCATACAGCATCTTGTCTTCACTTGGTGTTGTTAAGCTTAAAGGTCACAAAGCGCATCAAGGAATCAGATCAAAGCAAAGCCTTGTCGGAAGATATACACATGGACCCATTTGGCTGCACTTCAAGAAAATATAAGGACCCTATTTTGGTCGAGTTTTTCTTTACTTATTAGTGATTTGATAAGTTTTTTTGTTTCTTTCAACATGCATTCTATCGGTTTTAAACACGGACGATAGCATATCAATGGTACACTAGTGCAAACCACTAAATTGTTTTACTGTGATATAGAAAAAAAAAAAGAATTTTTCCATTTCGTTAAATACGTATGCTAAAACTTCTTTCAAATATCATACTCTAAGACTATAACTTTGCTTGAGGTAAAAAGGTAGTAATTTTGAAGTCGATATTAAATGTAGTTTGACAAATGATATACTCCAGCTGAATCAGATTTATGGCAAGCTATTCAATGTTCTGATCCTGATCACAGTTTGACAAAACGATCCACAATCAATGGATATCAAACTAAACATACATATATTTGGCAATTCTAGTTTTTTTTTTCTTCCGAATTTGTAGAGTAAGCATCATAAATAAATAAAGTTATAATGAAAGTGCTTATTCTCTTGCATTTGTCTATAAAGCGTGTCATCACAGTGACATACTTACAATGGGGGAATCATTAATCAAGTGGGTACAAACTAAGGGCGCGTTACTGAACCAGTTTAGTAAGTTGTTGAACAATAATAGGTGTTCTCTCTATATTTACTTTCGTTATTGATTTTGGGATTTAACCAGCTGGAAAAATACACACAAATACAATTACAGTATGTAGCAAAGGCAAAAAATTAAAGCAGCAAAAAAATTTAGAAACAAACATAAAGCAAAGGCAATCGTTAAACCGACATGTGTTTAATGAAAAACACGTTGTTAGTTAATGTGATTCGGCATCAGAAGCAGGGTCATTTTTTTCAATTTGGGGAAATAGAAATTGAGAATGAAAAACGAAATATTAGAATGATCTTCACACCTCAAAAAGTTAATTAATTACTGGCTCGATATTAAACTGTTTTTTCTTTTGCCTAAAAGAGGTACTTAGGCATTTTTTATTAGTATAATTCATAACTTTTTTAATTATAAATAATCAGAAATTTGAGTAAGTGGTCATCATTATGCAAAAAAGAAAGAAGAAAAAAAATGCGAATTGGACTTGGTATGTTCCGACACGTTTCCGGCCAGAGAACTAACTATACCATTCGTTCAAAGATTTCATCTTCTTGTTCCCATTGGTTTTGAAATTTTTTTGACATCAATATCATCTATCCACGTCACCAGTTTCAGTTAACTAGAGAAAATATAATTTCGGTTTTCTCCGTGTGTCGAAAATCCATACCTTAGCTTTGGTCATTCACATCTTTCTTCCATTTATATATGTCAAATTTAGTATATGTTTATAAACTAAAGGACAATATGGTTTTCAAGTTTATCCCTCGAGAAACCAATATATTTGGAGACAATTTGGCAAACAGGTTCTACATTTGTTTGCGATCTACACTCTATTTGAGGATGATACATTTCGAAGATTACACAAAAGGAAAAATATTATAGTATTAACTAGTGTTTTAAAATAGAGGTCAATGATGTGTTGGGATTATTTTTCTTAACAACGCTTAATGATTTCAAGAACCTTAGACGTGATGTTACATGCTAATTCCAATATTTCTTCAGTCTTTCATTTGTACTTTTGTGGAAATTAAAATCGTATGGAGATA